TGACATTAAGAATGTTGACTTTGGTTTCAATTTTAATTTCAGGGTCTTTTTGTTGATATTGATTAATCTGATCTGGTCTTTGTGGCCATTCTTCTTCTGATTTCAACAAAAAGTTTGGGCCCTTTGTCCATGTTTCTGCTTGTAGAAAGTCCTTTGCCTTAATACCTCTAGTAGCTTGATCTGCTGGATTCTGAGCTGACCTGACAAACTTCCACTGTAACGGAGTGGTGGCATCCCGTATTAGTGAAATCCTGTTGGCTACAAAGGTTTTGAAGCGGGCGCTCTCATTTTCAATGTAACTCAGCACCGTTGTGCTGTCTGTCCAAAAAATAGATGGCTGCAGTGGCATTTGTAGTTCTTGTCTTAGTATCTTGTCCATTTTGACTGCTATGGTTGCGGCGGTCAGTTCCAGTCTAGGAATTGTGATTTGTTTAAGTGGGCTTACTCTTGACTTCCCCATCAACAATGAGCAATATTTCTGATTTTGTTCATTTGTAAGAACCAGATAAGTTGCTGTGCCATAAGCACTCTCACTGGCATCAGAGAAATGATGCAGTTGAGCTTCTGCTGTGATGCCAAACTTCTCTGGCTTTAGACACCTTTTGAACTTGACATTTGAGATCTGACTTAAATCTTCTAGCCATTTAACCCACTGATCAGCACGCTTGTCGTCAATCTCATCATCCCAGCCATATCCTTGTTTGCACAGATCTCTTAAAAGTAACTTAACTGGTAGTATGAGTGGAGCCAGAAAGCCAAGAGGATCATAGATTGAATTAACCACTGAGAGGATACCTCTTCTACTCGACGGCTTCTCTTGGACTTTGATATGGTATGTGAAGGTGTCATCATCTGTGCACCACTGCATACCCAGTGCTCTCTCTATAGGCAAAGAGTCCTGATCCAAGTCAAGGTCTTTTACTCCACTGGCCCTTTGATCTTCTGGGATAGACAACAATACTTTCCTATTATTGCTCACCCACTTCGTCAATCGAAAACCTCCTTCCAGACACAAATCTTGAATTTCCTTGACAAGGTTGATTGCTTCTTGCTCATTGGACACTGATTTTAAACAGTCATCCACGTAGAAATTGTTCAGAACTGTGTCCACAGCCTTTTGCGATGCTACATGTTTTCTGTCCTCTGCTGTCTTTCTCAGTGCATAGGAGGCACAGCTAGGAGATGAGGTGGCACCAAATAAGTGCACCGTCATTCTGTATTCCTCTATAGGTGCATTCAAATTGCCATCTGGCCACCAAAGAAAGCGAAGTAGATCTGTGTCTTCCTCAGGAACTTTCACCTGATAGAACATTGACTCCACATCTGCCATCACAGCGATCGGTTCTTCTCTAAATCTGGTGAGTACACCAATAAGTGTGTTTGTGAGGTTTGGACCTTGAAGCAATTGGCTGTTCAGAGACATACCTTGAAAGGAAGCAGTACAATCAAAAACCACACGAATTTTGTTTTTCTTCGGGTGATACACCCCATGGTGTGGAATGTACCACACCTTGTTGTCGTTGAGATTAAGATGTTCAGTGGGAACTCTGACAGCATATCCTTTTTCTACTATGCTCTTCATGAACGTAGTGTAGTCATCAAGCAATTCTGAGTTCTTTTGAAGCTTTCTTTTTAGGTTAGCTGCACGTATTTCAGCAACACATCGATTGTTTGGCATGTCAACTGTTTCATCTCTCAAGGGTAGCTTCACACAGTAATGTCCATTCTCAAATTTAGTCTTTTCCTGCATTAACTGCATGAATCTTTTGTCCTCCAGTGACTTTTCCTCTTTCTCCTCATACAGGCGTTCTGGAAAGTCTGAGTTATATTGCTGAATCAACAATTTTTCGATTTCCACTACTGAGAGACGATTAACTGTATGATGTGGCAGTTTGGACCTTTCTGCATTGTTTGTTTTCTTAATGGTGCCATTTACTACCCAACCTAGTGCAGTTTTAACAGCATATGGTCCATCTTGTTGGCTGTTTATGATGTGCCATGGTTCCATTGCCTTTGGATTGTTTGCACCAATCAGAAGCCCCACATTTGCATCAATACAGGGTATGTTCACTTCACTTAAGTAAGGCCATTTTTGAATGTCTTCCTGTTTAGGAATGTTCTCATTTTGAACAGGAATATTGCTGTGTGTAAAGACTTTAGGTAGTTCAATATACTTGGTGTCGTCTAGCCCACATACTTCCAGGTCGGTGAGGATAAAACTGCTCACTAACTTCTGTTCACCTGGCTTGTCTTGACACATAGTGCTCAATAGAATCTGAGTTGGCTTTCCTTTCAGTTTCAGTTTATTTCGCAGCTCCTCTGTGCAAAATGTTGCTGTACTTCCAGCATCGAGGAAAGCATATGTTTCCACATATCTGTCACTTTTATTTGACTTGACTTTAACTGGCACTATTGACAGCACACAGTTATCTCCCCCAGACTCTGTGTAGTTGCATGATTGGTGACTTAGGGAGATCTGGGCACATGAGATCTCTTTGTCTGGTGTCTCAACCTGCTTTGTCACTTTGCGATCCTCCATCATATGTAAAATGTCTGGATGCCTTTGAGAGCATTCTTTACATTCAATTCTCTTTCTGCACATCTTACTCAAATGACCTCGAGTTAAGCATCCAAAACATAAGCCTTTTGACTTCAAAAAGTCCACACGTATACTATGTGGCTGCTCTTTGATTTCAGTGCATGACTCAAGAGTGTGACTTTTTGAGCAAAACATACATGGCTTTTCAAAAGCGCTTACCATCTTAGCTGGACTGGCAAGTTTACTTGATGTATCTTGAGGCCGTCTTTCCTCCATGCATATGTTGGTTGCAAAGCTGCTCTTTTTTATTCCCCTAGTAGCAGGAAATTTCTCCTTCTGATTCACCTTTGCAGTTACAGCATTGCGAGTGTCCAGTATGTCTCCAAAGAAAGGATCTGTGACCACTTTTGCTTGACGATCAATAAAATCCACCAAATGAGTAAATCTAGCTCTTACTCCCTGTCTTTCCTTGATGTCATATGCTTCTGATCGCCACCTTTCTTTCATTTTGTATGGTAATTTTGAAATTACATCTCTCATATTGGTGGGACTGTCCATCTCCTCCATGGACTCCCCATCTTCTAATGTATTGCGACATCCAATTAGGAATAAAGCATAAGCACTCAAGGCTTTGCCATCATCAGACTTGATTTGAGGCCACTTTTGAACTTTATCAATAAAAGCTCTTGCTATAATAAGCTCGTCTCCATAATGCCTTTCGAGCAGTCGCTTTGCTTCTTTAAAACCTCTGCTTAACGGCATATATTCACAGCTTCTGACAATCTCTTGAGGCTCTCCTGCAGTGTATTGTTCAAGATAATACAACTTGTCTTTTTCATTGTCTGTTTTATTTTCAATGGTATGCTCAAAAGACCTGATAAAGGATCTATAGGTTAATGGATCCCCTCTAAACACTTGTATGTCTTTACTAGGAAGCTGAATTTGTCTTTGTTGTCTCACCAACAACTCAGTCAAGTCATTTTGTTTCTGCATAACTTGAATAATGCTGTTGTCTGCTTGTGGATAGTCACTGTGTCCAGGTGCTTGTATGTTCAGTTCTGTTGCTGGATGTATCTTTGGACTTGAGACAGACTTTGCTTTATCCTTCGCTACAGTAGAATGAGAAGGTGAGCTTTCTTTCTGCTCTGTTTTCAGTTCAAGCTGTTTATGGTGGAATCCTTTTCTTTTCTTTGACCGCACACTACTTTTTCCATCCTCTGAATGCTCAAATTCTTTCAGAACCTTTAATTTGGCATCACTTTCTGCAAGCGCTGTTTCTATTTCAAGTTCCTCCATTTTTGCCTTTATCTGCATCTCTTCAATTACAAGTTGTTGTTTTTTCTTTAATGATGCTGCCCTTGCTAGCAAAGCTGCACGTTTTGATTCTTCTTGTGCATATGCAGATGATACAGAGGAGCAAACAGATCCACTTGTAACTGAATCACACTGCTGCTTAAGCTCATTTTTGTTCAAAGATACCTGTGAGGCACTGTCATGAGGCATAATATCATCCTCCATTTCCACATTGTCGTTTTTCTCATTTTTCTCAGCTACAGCAGCTATCCAGTTTTCTGTTTTATTCCTAAAAATATTCACAGAGTCCATTTTAGGCTGAAACCAGTTTTGTTGGTCTGCAATCCTTTCGTCTTCAGACAAAAGATCTTGAACTTGAACATTTAAATCATTAAACTCTGCTAACAATTGTGCAAAGTCAAGTTGCATTAAATCGTGCACATTCTGCAGATTTTCATCATCATTCATCAACCTTTCTAGGGTTTTTATATTACTGGTAAGAGCAGATAATTTAGCTCTTCTCAATCCAATAATTCTGTGCAATTTCTCCTCTAAAGCCTTTTCAGTAGGTTTAGGCGCCCTCTTGTGTTCGAAAGCTGCAGTTTCACTTTCGCTTCCTTCAGCCATCTCCATTCAATCAATGCACAAA